ACAAAATACAATGAGCTGTCTATAACTGCTTTTTCTAATTTTGAAGTTAATAATGAGAATCCATTACAGTCATATGATGAATTTATTGAAAGGCTTGATACACTTAGGAGGGATATTTTGCCAAAGTTTGTCAAAGCAAACAACTATCGTTTGCAAACCTCCAGCACCTTGGTGTAGTGACACATGTGAACAGAGTGTTATTAAAACTTATGAAGCTTTAAAACTGTACAGAAGAGATCCAACCATTGATAATTACATTAATTACAAAAGACTTAATGCTGTTAAGAAAAAAACTATTTCACAACATAAACGCAATGGTTGGGCTAACATCTGTAATACTTTTAACAGAACTACACCTGTTAGTATTATTTGGAAATACATCAAGTTATTTAAACGAATAAAATGCAATAATAGAACATATAAAGACGAATTTGTAGTCCCTCTTTTAGACAAATTGTCACAAAATGGATGTAGGGTTATTGATAATTTAGAAAGTTATTTTCAGATTAATAATAGTCTTCAGAAGTCCAGTTTCCTCATAGAACCCTTTACTTGGAGTGAGTTTTGTACAAGTTTACAATCCAGACGAAACACAACCCGTGGTTTAGATAATTGTCCATACATTTTGATCAAAAACTTAAATCAGTCCGTACAAAAGAGACTATTAGCTAATCTTAATGCTCTTTGGCACTTAAAAAAAATTCCTGAATCTTGGAAAACACAGTGTGTAATCCCTCTACTTAAGCCTGACAAGCCACCTGAAGATCCTAATTCATATCGTCCTATATCTTTGTCATCTTGTGTTGGAAAGCTTAATGAAAACATGATAAAGATGCGTCTTGAGTGTTATGTAGAGGCGAACAACATCATTCCACATGTTCAATATGGCTTCCGGAGAGGCAGAAGTTGTGCTGACAGCTTCATCTCTCTCTTGTCAGATCTGAAATATGCCAATTATAATAATAAGTCCAGTGTTTGTGTTTTTCTGGGTGTTGAAGGTGCGTTTGATAATGTAGATCCTGGCATTTTGGTTCAAGTTCTTTCTGACATTGGTATACCAGGCATACTTTGCATTGGTTATTTAATTTTTTAATAGATAGAACTTTGTATATAAGGCATAATAATATTCTCCATGGTCCCAGAAGGGTCTCCAAAGGTACAATGCAGGGGGCTACATTATCTCCATTGTTGTACAACATATACACTAGTCAAATTCTTAATTTTGTAAATATAGAAGGTGTAAATATTTTACAATTTGCGGATGATCTTGTAATATATTGTACAGACCATAATGTAGATAGAGCTGTAAATAGTATAATGCTTTAGATCAATTGTACATATATTATAATGACAAGTTGGCTCTACAGATTAACCCCAACAAAAGCAAGGCCATGATTTTTAGTAAAGATTTTCCCTCTAATGGCATACTCTACAATAATCATCCAATTTCAGTGGTATCTAACCATAAATTCCTGGGTGTTGTCATTGATAACAAACTTTGTTTTAATTTACACATCAATCACATTATAACTAACTCTCTTAAGGGCTTAAATATTATAAGATGTTTAGCTGGTGTGACTTGGGGTGCAGACCCCAAAGTTTTAAGTATGCTATATAAATCTATAGTCAGAAGCCATTTCGACTACAGTTGTTTAGCCTACTCAAATAGTAGTTGTGTAAAAAAACTAGACATAATTCAAAACAAAACTCTGCGAATTATTTTTGGGGCTATGTGTTCAACTCCCATACGAGCTATGGAAGTTGAAACCAAAATAATGCCACTGTGTCTTAGAAGACTTCTGCTAATAGAGAGATATTTACTAAAGCTGGTATCTGGTAATGATAATGTTCTCAAAAAAATAGTACCTTTTCCTTTACAATGCTCGGTCCAGCAGACTTCGGGAGGTGAGCTTTTACAAGGTTATTTTCCAGTTTTGCCTCTCATTGTACAACAAATGAATGAAGATTTTAAAAATGTAATTAAACAATCAAAGTGGACATGCTACACATACCCATATTCCTGTATTATATTTGAGACCACTATTGTTACCAAAAAAATTTTTAATAATTGTGAATTATTAAGTTTTCTTTCCGACAATAACTACTATACTTTGTATACAGATGGTAGCAAAAGTGAGCTCTTTGTGCGCAGTGCTGTTTATGATCCACAATGCAAGTTTGGTCAAAGTTTTCTTCTGGACGCTAAATGCAGTGTTTTCACTGCAGAGGTATATGCGGCCCTCGAGGCTCTGAAGAGGATTGCACATATAAACAGTTTTAATATTTTTTTAATTTTAACAGAGAGTTTAAGTATGGTCCAAAGTTTAACCAATCTCAGATTTGACTTTAAAAAAAACTATATTTTGTATAATATTAAAAAATTGTTATTTAGTTATGCACAAAAGGGTATACAGGTCTCTTTCATGTGGATTCCATCATATAGGGGCATAACAGGAAATGAGATAGTAGATAAAATTGCACGTGATGGAACCAGCATGTTGGATGTTAGCTCCATAGTAAAAGTACCTTTGACCGACTGTTATCAATCTATTGACAACCAGGTCAATAGCTTATGGGTCGAATTTTGGAAACAAGATCAAGAACAGAAGGGTAAATGGTATGGAACTGTTCAAGAAAAACTACCAGTAGCACCATGGTATAACAAACTGAAAATGGCCAGTCGGGACTTTATTACCACTATAAATAGATTGCGCTTTGGTCACTCCACCGTCCCGGCCCACCTGGCTCGATTGGGCATAGTGGAGAGCAGCTACTGCACCTTCTGCAATAATTCTGTTGGTGATATCGAACATTTCATATTTACATGTGAGTGCTTTTCATTTGACAGATTGATTCTTGTCAGTGAAATTAGTGACATAGTGCAAAATCAAGTGATAGTGCAAGATCCCTCCCGCCGCCTGAGTGATATGTTAAAAAATAGATCTTATTATGTGCCTCTATATAAACTCATCAAAAATACAGTGGGGAAATTATAATAAACCGAATAAAAATACTCAAGACTTCGCCTAAAGGTCTAGATACCAGGCCATAAACTCCAAAAAAAAATCCCGCCTATTTCTATCTCAAAAGTATACGCGAATGCTTTTTGCTTTATCTAGTCAATCCTATATCTACGTTTCATGTATACAATGTACAGAATGTATAACTGTAAATTGGAGGTGGGCAAAGTGTATCATTTTTGCGATTGGAACATTTGCATCTTGATCACTGAAATGTTCCGAAACACTGATATGTTTCATTTGTCTCATTTGGATTGGATTGATTTTCTATTGTGTGAATATTATATTGCGTGCCCAAAGGACTTCGATTCTGCTACACCCGACGACATTGTGCTATTCTCATCTGGACTCCGATTTGTGCCCTAAGATTTTGGTCTAGTTGTCACAGTAATTCTTAAACATCGACTCAAAAGATATAAAAGAAAGAATGTTCCGAATACATTAAGTTGCGTCGCGGGCGTTTATTACTGACTGATCCGTGAAATGTTATGTGGCAACAATTCTGAATAATATAAGTGCTTAGATTATTTATTGTGTACCGTAATAAGATTGTATATAAAATCCATTGTCCTTCATACTTTAACAAAAATGTCACTATGTCAATTCATTATTTACAAAAATGTCCATTTACACAAAACAGCAATGTCTATGTACACAGAATTTACTCGTAAAGTAGCATAACTCTAAACTTTATGATGTAAAGGAAGAAAGTAAAGTCACAATAATCACTACGCAAAGAAATCCTAAACGTAACTCAGTATGTTTCGTAAACAGGCGCTAATGAATATATACAATTTGACAAGTGCCGCATCAACGTAAAATGACAACTTGTTAATGCAAACATTACATACAAAAAACGACCGTATAGTATTAGACACATAAGCGCCTTAGTGGTAATTTTTAGGTGCATGTATAACGTCAGCGAAAATCTGTACAAGTTGAGTAATACACTTCTTATTTGTTATCTCTATCTGACTTGTGTGGATTATAATTATTTCGCCCGCTCACTCGCCACTCGTGAGTCAATAGTTAAGTTAATCATTGTCTTGTCTCACTCTGTCTCTCTCGCTCGTGGCTCAGTCGCCTCGCAAGCGACGCGTCGCGCGAAATGAGCAAAGAGCAAAGTAATGTTTCACTGTTCCAGATCCAAATGATACATTTGAAACGTTGTTACTGAACCAATCTTTTGTGTCACTTCAGTGATTCGTATCAGTGAGTCGTTTCCGTAAAGAGATACACACGCCTACTGTAAATGTCAGTCAAAGAGAATATCTTTGAGTTTTCTATGCTCAAAGGATAAAGGAGAATATAACTAAATGTCAGTTTGTTTCAGTCAAATTGATAATTGATAATAAAGTTACACTTATTGTAGTAAGCATAAGAAATGGATTAATTTTGTTATTCGGTTATTCAAACTGGTGCACTAAATACAGTGATCACTGAACATTGTGCTTATAATATAAACTACTCTCTATTTATGCTTAATTTTTTTGCAGTTCTTGATATGAAAATCATCTATTTTATGAGTCTGTTCCAATCTATATACTATTAAAAGTAAACAGGTTTCGTGCTTAAAAAAATTGTGTAAATTTTTAGTGTAGAATTTCTTAGTTACAAATTGATGATGTTAATCTCCACAAAATCATATAATTTTCCTACTTTTGGGAATTATGAAGTATTATAATACTTCTGCAAAAATAATCTAAACTTTGTTTACATTCTAAAAGTTGTATTGCCTTAGAACAGGTGATTTTATTCAAGGTAGGTACTTAATTGAAAAATGAATTTCGTAATTTTTGCCAGAACGTCTAATAAAACTAAATTTTTATATTTAAATAAGTAATAAATGCTATTATTTTCAAACAGTTTTTAAGTTGTGTTCACTGAATGTATGCATAAAACTTATACATCAAAATAATATGTATTCTATACATTGTTAGTGGTTTATTAAAAAGTAATTGTCAAGTGTATTTAGTGAAAATGAAGGGGACCCTGAAAGTGTTGATGTTGAAGCACCTGTTGGTGCGAGTGCATAGATTTATCAATACAACCTTGGAACTTCTCTCTCCTGTTTTATTCTTCATAATTCTGTACATTTTCAAGGACAAAATAAATGAGCCCAAACCATTGCATGCCCGAAATGAACTCAACATATATAACACTGTAAGTTCATACATTCTTTACCTACTTATTATTTTACAATATTTTGTCTCATAGAATTATGTGAAAATGGATTTATTGAAATTACCACATCTTAAATGAAGTTATAATACTTGATGTTGCAAAGTTACAGGCTACATGTATATCCCACTGCTTGGCACAGGCCTCTTCCCGTTTTTGAGAGGGTTTTAGAGCTACGAAATGTTTGCCACGCAAATAATGTGTTGTAAATATGAGTGTTGGTAAACATTACAAAAGTAGTTTTCTTGGTACGACTTTCCATTGACGATTCCAATGACGACTTTTATAGAAAGGTTACATTATTATAAACACACACGTAAAGTTTCAATATGCGGAAATATGTACTTTTTGAAAAAAAAAAATTGAAAATCAATTATTTTTGCAATGTTTATACCAATCCCCATTGACATACGTCGAGTTGGAGGTTGATATTTTTTTTACAGAAATTTTACATTATTATAAGCACACACGCAAAGTTTCAACATTCGGAGACACATACTTTTTGAGAAAAAAAATATTGAAAATCAACTATTTTTGCAATATTTATGTCAATTGCTACCGTAAAATTGACTCGATTTTGTATTGTCGTTGTCTCCCTACTGACACCTTACAAGAATACCTTGCAAGAATAACTAACTTTCAATAATTTTTTTCTCAAAAAAAATGCATTTCTGCATGTTAAATCTTTGTGTGTGTGCTTATAATAGTGTAACCTTTCTGTAAAAATATGTGTCAACACCCAACTCGACAGACGTCAATGGAAAGCCAAGCCGTTTTCTTTTTTTATTAATCCAGTAGACTCGATAATTTGACACTCGTTAGTTTGAATCTCTTGTTAATATGAAATTTTTTCCTGGTCCCTTGAGAAATACTCAATAAATGGAATAAAATCAATATTAATTGATCTCCACGGTGATTTGAATTTGAAGGAATAGTATCTTACCCACCAACATGCAATAATTTGAAGTCCTTGATAATTTGAAGCGTTTACCCTGGTAAACTGGTAAATTTTTATTGTGCCTGCACAGACCTGTCATTTGTTTACATACATGTACAGAACTGTCGATTCAAAATAAATGGTGCAAAATTGAACCATCTAAGATTTGCGGATGACATAATCCTATTCTAAGAAAATCCCTATCACCTGGAGATGATGGTCTTACCATGAACAAGAATAAAACTAAAATACTTACTAACTCCACACCAATAGCCATTGAAATCGACAATCAACCACTTGAATATGTAAAAGAGTACAGATAATATACATATAGTCACTTAAAGAAGTCTTTAAATCAAACGAGATAAGTATGGCAATGAAAAGAAAAGTCTTTGATACCTGTGTCCTTCCAATGATAACTTACGGATGTGAAACTTGATTACTTACAAAACACCAAAGAGACAAGCTTACCTGATGTCAGAGAGCAATGGAAAGAAGTATTTTATTTATTTATTCTTTATTGCATTCTTGAAAACAAAAGAATACAAAGGGTGGACTTAATGCCTTGAGGCATTCTCTACCAGTCAACCCATGGGCCATGGAGTCGTGAGAATTTGACATAGGTGTGGCTATATAGTATAAAACAGGGCTTCCCTAACTGTGAGTCACGGCTCAATCCCAGGGGCATCGTAAGGCGTCTACAGATTGGCTGTGTCTATGCGACCGATTTGATTTAATAAAAATTATAAATGTTATTTGCAGTTTTTCTGGCATCTTGCTACTACATTACAACTGGTAGGTATTTTTTGTTCAGAAGAGTTATAATTGTTAAGTTTTTTGATCCCATTATAGATATCCCCATATTATAATCCCATTACGGATACCAAGTATGACTGGTATTAAAAATCAAGACAAAATAAGAGAAAAGACCAAAGTTGTTCATATACTTACACATATAGATTAACAAAAGTGGAGATGGACCGGGCACTTGATCCGTGATAAGAATGACAGGTGGAGCACAGTTGTATCTAATTGGTACCCCAGATATGGCAAGAGGTACAGACGACGTCAACAAACAAGATGGGAAGACAAGATAAAACTCACAGTTTGCCATCACTGGAGAAGAGTACCCAGAGACAGTACATAATGGAAAATGTTACAGGAGGCCTATGCCAAGAGGCACACTGAATTGCGGGACATTCTATAGAATGCTATAGCTTAACCTGTGAAACTTTATTTTGATTTAAGTTCCAGCTTCAGCCTCATAATCCAGTATAAAGGGCTCTATTGAACAGACCTGTCCATTTTTTACATAAATGAGATACTTCTTATCAAAAAGAACATTTGTGAATAATTGTACAAATGTCTGAAAACAGATAATATATTGTGCACTAAGTTATTTTTTTTAATATAATAAGGGTGACACAAGGGCACACAGTCCACATGATGTTAAGTGGTTGCTGTGGCCCATAGACAACTACACCTTAACTCGATTAAGAATGAAAATTCAGAGCTCGTTAAGTAGTATGTACATAAAAGTCTTCGCACAGGACTGATGAGAGGTAGCAGCATCAAGGATGCACATATGATGGGTAATCTGCGTGCAATCAAGATGATTAAGACAAAGCTTCTCCCAGATCAATATGTAGACTTCTACGGGTGGATGATGAATGAATGACATAAAACCAATATCTATGTAGTTGGTGAACGGCACTACGATGCTGAAAACAGGAGCTACATCTCGGTTTAATTGCGATTCATTATTTTTCTTGGAAAACAAAAACCCTTACAAAGAAAGACAACATGGTCGTTCTGCCCACAATCTTTACGCTTAGCCAATAAGCAGCCGTGTCGATGAGTGCAAAGAAACCCTCGTACCAGTAATGCCGCTTGCCACCACAGGTCTGTAAAATTAGGCTAGCTAGTTTTGGATAGATGGTCCGTTAGTCTGTAGGGTGTACCGCTTGCAGTTGAAGTTGATATTTAGGGAATAGGTTTATTTTTATTGGATAGGGTGACAAACAAGCACACAGTCCACCTGATGGTAACTAGTTGCTGTGACCCATAGAAACACAGCAGCGTTAAACTGCTATTTTACGTTAGTATTCTGTGAGAGCGTGGTCCTTCCCCGGTCGAGCCGACCCATGCTACAACTATACTACTAATATAGCTGCAACATGGCTCTACCACCTAAAATAGGTAATAGTAGGTTCCAATATTTTCCAATACCTCCCCATTACCCCAATGTTAAGTGTTAGGCTTTGGTAGGTAGATAAATAGATTAGATTGCAATATTGTAGAATATTTTCTTTTTAATTTTTTTTTTTTTTTAGTTTTTATCAGGAAGAAGCTGATGGCCATCACCTGTTTAAATGTCTCTCTGTCGCCTCTTACGACAATAATGGGACAATATGGGGAAGAGGATTCTTACACCGCCACTACACGGACCTCACATCGTGTCTTCGAAATATTTATATTTCACAGACATGCAGGTTACCTCGCGATGTTTTCCTACACCGCCGAGCACGTGGTAAATCAGCACTTAATCCGTTAGCTGCCGTGTCTGTCACTTTGTACAGAGTATTGTATACATAACATGACTGACGGCAGTGTAAGCGTTAAATATGAAATAAAATTTTAAATTACCGACGGAGATTGAACCCAGATTCTGACTGCCTCTTTGTTCTAGTGATCATAAACGCAGGGATTGAATACCGGTACCAATTTCGGTTCGGGTTCTTCATTTAGGTTCTTATAAAGGTTCCTCTTTTATATAAATACAAGTATATACAAATGGCTATGAATATATATGTCTGTTTAGCAATACATATTAAATGTATGAATCATATAAAATGTGTTGTCGTCAATAGACGATTACAGACCAACTTTTTAAAAGTATACTTATTGGGTGCTTTTCTGAAGTTATCAGGCAAGGAGTTCCAAAGGTGTGTAGCCTGAACTGTGAAGAAGTTACCATAGAACTCGGTGAAGTGAACAGGAATACAAATTTTGTTGTTGAAAGAAGAACATAGGACCCTATCATGAGATGAGGAGAGATAGTAAAATTTACTCTTAAGATAAGAAGGCGAAGATTTTTTTTTATATTAAAAAAAAACGGTATCCCCACACTAGGATTTTCTCCTGTATCGTGGAGGCAGTTTACAAACATATATTGCACAAGGACAAACATCCAGACCTGGAACAATTACTTGTAGGCCATACAAATACTTGTTCCGTGCGGGATTCGAACCCGCGGCCCCCAAGCGTTGCAACTCATTGCTAAGCCACCACGCCACGGAGCCGTCGAACACGAAGGCGAAGATGGGTCATTTAATATGGAAAAATGAACAAGCAAAGAAGAACACAAAAAAGAACAACATATTCTGGAATTGCTCCTCTGCCAGATTGTAAGCGAATTTAGCTTAGATCTATATTGCAAAATATGGTCATACTTATGAAGCCCGAAAATAAATCTTACACAGTTATTGAGAAGGCGTTCCAGCTTGTTCAGAAGATCTTGGGACAGATGTGGGTAACACACATCTGCATAATCAATTATGGGTAATATGAGCAATTGGACAAGCATGATCTTAGATTTTGCCAAAAGAAAATGTTTTAAACGATACAGAGAGCATAATGTGGCAATGACTTTATGACTCACTTCTGAAACCTGAGTTCTCTAATTCAGAGTGCTGTCAATGTGTAGGCCAAGATTTTTAACAGAATTACTGAACGGAATTATAGTACTATCATATCATAATAAATAGGAGATAAGTCTGCAAGATTAATCTTAGCTTACCCACCAGTATAGGATGGCATTTCAATAAATTGACCAAAACTCCATAACAAGTAGACTATACTTTGATAGCTGATAAATTGTTAAGTTTCTTGATCCAATTATGGATAACCCCATAATATAATCCCATTACGGATACCAAGTATGACTGGTATAATAAACAAGACAAAATAAGAAGCAGCAAAATAAGAGAAAAAAGCCAAAATTGTTCATATACTTACACACATATAGATCAACAAAAGTGGAGATGGACCGGTAATTAAATGACAAATAAAACCAATACCTATGTAGTTGGTGAACGGCACTACGATGATGAAAACAGGAGCTACATCTCGCTTTAATCGTGATTCATTATTTTTCTTGGAAAATAAAAACCCTTACAAAATGAACCACCTGGCAAAGACAACATGGTTGTTCTGCCCACAATCTCTACGCTTAGGTAATAAGCATCCGCGTCGATGAGTGCAAAGAAACCCTCGTACCGGTAACGCCCCAATTTGATGGCAAATCACACATCAGTAAAATTAGGCTAGCTAGTTTTGGATAGATGGTCCTCCCTATTACCGCAATGTTAACCTCAATGGCTTTTGGTAGGTAGATAAATAGATTAGATTACAATATCGTAGAATATTTTCTTTTTACTTAATTTTTTTTTTGAGTTGTTATCAGGAAGATTTTTTTATTTTTTTTTATAGGATAAGGGTGACAAACGAGCACACAGTCCACCTGATGGTAAGTGGTAGCTGCGGCCCATAGACATCTACATCTATCCTCGTTTGCGAATCAAAATGCAGATGCGTTGTCACCCGTGAGGACTAAGATGGAATGCCACATTTCCAGTAAAAAGGGCCTCCGGCCACCTGCACTCACCAAGCGAAACGCAGAGGTAAACCTCTACTTCACGCTGGTATTCTGTGAGGTCGTGGTACCACCCCGGTTCGAGCCGGCCCATCCGTGCGACAGCAAAAGCTGCCGCGTGGCTCTACCACTGGTCATCACCTATTTAAATGTCGCTCTGTCGCCTCTTACGAAATCTTAGTAAATGGGCCAATATGGGGAAGTAGGATATTCTTACATCGCCACTACGCGGATTTCACATCGTGTCTTCGCAATATTTTTATTTCACAGACATGCAGGTTACCTCGCGATGTTTTCCTTCACCGCTGAGCACGTGGTAAATCAGCACTTAAATATGAAATTAAATTTGAAATTACCGACGGAGACTGAAGCCATGTTCTGAGTGCCTCTTTGTTCTAGTGGTCATAAACGCGACTGATGATCTTGAAGTCGCAGGTTCGAATCCCGGGCTAGTTCAAAATCTGTTACCGGATTTTCTTCTGACAAGGAATTCACAGTAGTGGGACGGAGTCAAAAAGTTGGCGGTGTTACACCCCGTGCCTCGGAAAGCACTTAAAGCTGTTTGTTCTGCGCCTGATCTCTCTCTGGTTGTGTCGTATTACCGTCCCATCGGAATATGAGAGTAAGGGAATAGAGAGTGCGATAGTGCTTATGTATACACTCGGGCACTATAAACCTGTACTGCACAGATGGTTACGCTCCGTTGAGACTGACTGAAGTAACCGAAATTATGTCTGAAGCACTTCATTATTTAAGTAACTACTATATAATATTAAGTAGGCATTTATGGGCTATAGTAGCCACTTACCTGTTGTGGTCTGCTAGCTCCTTTCGTTCTAATATGAAAATTGTTATGGATGCCATACACGATCCAGTTTACCGTCAAGTTTACAGCGCGCTTGAAGCAGCATCAAGTTTGTAGTGCATCCATATAGACCACTCACATTCAAGTTCGCCGTCAAGTTCGCACGATGCCGCATCAGTTAAAACCATGGCGTCTCTCGCTTATTTGTTCCGACTAACAACATGCATACTTGACCGCTCATACATATGTTCAACTTTACATGACGCTGCAATCTTGATCAAGTCTGCAGAATCGAAATTGAATGTTTGCTTCAAATAGACTTGCCGTGCACACTGATAGCTATACACCGTCAAGTTTACCGGACGCCGCTTCAAGCGCGCTGCAAACTTGACGGTAAACTGGATCGTGTATGGCATCCATTATGTTTCACTACATAATTAACGTTTCTTCAGGAGCCGATACCATTGGAAAGTGTTCGTGGCCCTAGTCTGATATACTACATGCCGGACACCGACCTCACTGGATTACTGATGGACCGGGTCGGAGACAAACTGGGACTCGAACGACTCAAATATTTCCCAAGTGAGTTTTTTTGTTTTCTTATAGCAGAGGGGGTAAACCGAGCATGCGGCTCACCTATAGGAAAGTGTCGACCGCCGCCCATGAACAACTGCAACACCAGTGGAATTGCATGTGCGTTGCCGGCCTTTTAAAAAGGGGATGAATGATTCTAGGGATTGAACTGGGCTAGATTTAGTCGCCACAAATCCGAAACATTGTTCAACATAGACTCGATTTCAAACACAAGTTTGTTCCGGTACTCGCCGACGTTTTCCCGAGAAATATTGGCACGGCCGGTGTATAAAGCATCACCAGTGCTGTCGTCTGCATAGCAATTAATGATACCCGTTTGCAACACTATTACATGTATTTATATACCTTTATTTTTTCGTCTAACTAAAACCCCCACCTGATTTAAAGACAATGACGACCCAACCGCATACACTTTTATCTACATTATTCTTAAATTTCAACATTTTCTACCGACTTCAAAAAGCAGACGGTACTCAATTCGACTGTATGTTTTTTATGTGTTACCTCATAACTTTTTACTGGGTGAACCGATTTCGATGATTTATTTTTATTTGAAAGCTGGTGCTACACATGTGGTTCCATATAAATTTGATCAAGGTCTGACCAACAGTTTTTGAGTTATTCTTAATAATTTATATTGAAGTCCGTTGTACAAAATTTTAAATTATCTAAATCTCGTTGACTTTATATGGTTGTTCTGTATATTGCGATGTACGTATTTGTTAAAAAAATTGCTTTTAATATAAAGTAAAAGCGGAATACCAAAGAACTAACAAATATAAAATAATTTCCACTTTATAGTTTCTGGTGTCTGTGCTGACGGCTAAGACGTGGTGCATACAAGAATTAAATACCCAACTTCACAAGCAATTAGCCCCGTGGGTTTTAATTCCAGGTCAGGCTGAATTCAATTGTTGGGTTTTTCATTATCAGTAGTAGCCCGGAGTCAGGAAGATGACAGTCTTTCACCCCCGTTCCTCGGAAAGCACATATACCACCCATTGATGCTGGGCCCGATTTCTCTTCGGTCAAGTCTGATTGCCTTCCCATCGGACTATAAAAGTAAGGGAATATAAAGTGCACCTGTGCTTTTTCTTCTTACTAACTGGCTTTACGGCTCTGGGTTCTAGCCCTTCTGAGCCTGAAGTTACAATGCATAGTTATCCGTCATAGTACAAGGCTTCACAATATGTTGATGCGTCACATTGTGCAGCCCTTGGGAGATTTTGATGGCAACTAGAGCCGACAGTTGGTGATGGTATCTCAAGGCGCCTATGCAGACAGACAGACACCTTATCTTGAGAATCTCATCGCCATCAGAGCACTTGTTTCACCGTTTCCACTAATAGTTCACATGCGTAGACATTTAATACACAAAATCGCACCACTTTTACATATCAAAATCCACTTCAAACCATTATTTAAACAATAATACAGGAGTAGCAATCCGTCGCCGGTCAAGTTCCCGCCAAAACTCGTGCACCTGTGCTTGCGCCATAAATGGAGCATTTATAATCTTATCCATTCCGAATGGCTAGTCTACATTGGGACCGGCCACCGCCGTGACCGAAATTCGCTCTGAAAGACATTATCATTACAAACATTATTATTTTAGGTACATATATGAAAAGTTATATTGATTGAGCCTTTTGAGCAGACTAATGAATGTGACTAGTAGAATGACTAGAATGTAGCCTAAATAGCTACATTAAGAACTTCGTCCCCTAATTTTCCACCCTTGGAAATGTTTTGTCCAAATTCATATGGGTCGAAGATCTTGTGTAACATATGTACACACAAAAAAAACAGCACAGTTAATTGACAACATCTTTCATTTTTGACGGTTTATTTTAACCGTACATAAAGTTTGTCTTATAATGCATTTGACTCCTTTTTTTTTACATGGGGAAATGCCTACGCATACCCGCCTCGCGGGGGCAAGGACGGGTTATGTCGGACTCGCACCGACTAATACCCCATGGTGTTCCACCCTCGTCGCATATTGGCAGGGCCACGGGAACGCTTTCGCACAATTCCGCGGCCCCACCTGCGCTGGCCGCCCCATGGTGGCCCCTCCTCGGGAGAGGACCACTCCTCCTCCATCTCCCTCTCAGGTAAGGCGCACCAGAACACATGGCGCGCCCTCCTCCTCGGCCTCCAATTTCATGTGCGCAACGGACGCCCCCGTGTCCGATGCGCGAAGGCCATGGGGCCAGGAAAAACTAGCACTCAGAAGCACCAGCCTCACTGACCCCAGCGGCGGATCTGGTCTATGGCTCCGCCGCCAACCAAGATCCGGCTGTGGAGGGTAGGGAGAGCGGCGCCTCGCAATACCGACACTCCTCTCCCCCCGCAGCCCCACCACCACCGCATCAACGGTGCGGCCCCGTTTGAGTCGCGGAGGATAGGGCGAGTGGCGTATCGCCATACCAACACTCCTCTTCCTCCGCGACTCCACCTCGGCTGCAGCGGTAGAGGGAGCGGACACCCCTCCCACCGCAGCCCACCGACACACATCCGAAGTGGGCTCGCCAAGCCCACTCGGAGTGGCCACCTCGGGTCGGCCCTACACCACGGGCCAGCCAAGGGGTGGTTCCTCTTTGTTCACCGTGGGTGACCAAGCCACGGCTACTAAGCCCCCCCGCCACGACAAGGCGGGAACCCGTTCGGGGGGGATGCATTTGACTCCTACTGCTGATTGATAGCTTGAACCGTAGGCGTATTACGTATCTTGCAGGAGGCTAGCGATAGCGAAATTAGAACAATAATTGTTGATAAATCGCAGATTCGTATTATGTACCAGCGATAACCAAGCCCTAGCTAACTAGCGACCACAAGGCAGCGCTGTCGCTAGTTAGCTTGGTTATCGCTGATACATAATACGAATCTGCGATTTATCAGCAATTATTTTTCTAATTTCGCTATCGCTAGCCTTCTGCAAGATACGTAATACGCCTACGGATCTCTTAGCGATCATCTTTAATATTCGTACAGATTGTTTCAAAGTGGCCGTTTGTCGGCAGGATACCCTACAAGCGGATACTACCCTATAGCTAACCTCAGTGACCTGGCAGACTCCATCAATTCAATGGGTGAGCATGTGGCGGTCGTCGTGTTTCAGGTAAATTCCTTAATCTCTAACAATTAATAGCGTGTATAAGTGTGCGTACAGATTAAGTAACATGTTGTGTAACTTTTGTTTTATAACACGTCCACGTAATGTAACATTGTTTTTCAACATTGCAACATATAACAATACTTTTTTTATAGGATAGGGTGACAAACAAGCACACAGTCCACCTGATAGTAAGTGGTTGCTGTGGTAAAATGCAGATGCGTTGTCACCCGTGAGGACTAAGATAGAATGCCTCTTTTCCAGTAAAAAGGGTCTCCGGTTCTCTACACTCACCATACGAAACACAGCAGTGTTAAGCTGCTATTTTACGCTGGTATTCTGTGAGAGCCTGGTCCTTCCCCGTTCGAGCCTACCCATTCGTGCTAAAACTATACTGATATATAACTATACTGTACACATGAGAATAACAATGCAATATAACAATGTTATATGACATTATCGTATGACATTGTCGTTTGTCGTTCTGCCGTTCGAGTTATATAACATTTGTTAGCATTCAGCCTACACATTACTGTAATATGCTATATAACAACGTTTTATAACATGTTATAGTATATAATGTGTACGCACCGTTAGCAGCCTTGTTAACTTAGGAGTGGAGCGCTCACTATAAATTACACTGTACGCAACACGAGCAACCATGGCGTGGCTACCGTATAGTGGGGACAGAAAAATTCACTACTTATCTCATATAATAAAACCACTTAATTTCATGACTGCTTATTTAATTGTGAGGCCAAAAAGGACGAGCCATTATTAATCTAACGATACGTTTAATGTGTTTGGATACGACCACTTAACAACCTCTTTATGAAAAAAAAATATGTCATCCCGTGGGTGTTGAGAGACGACAGTAATAGATGAGGCGAAGGAAGGTAGGAAGCCCTTCTGATGACATTTTATCCGATTGCCCCAGAAAGAGGTTAACGTTTTCGAGTGTATGTACGTTTATTTGTTTGGCACGCTCTATATCTATAGCCTAAACGGTTTGGTAGATTTTAACATATGGGCTGTCATAATTAGTAGAATCAGGCGTTACTTTGCAGAAATCCATTATATTAAAGATATTAAAAATTAGTTTTGAATTACTGGTGACCGAGATAGTCCACGCAACTGAGGGATAGCGGGAGGTGCTCTTTATTTTATTACGCGGATATAAGCAAATTAGTTTTTTAAGATCTTTATTATGGCGTGTCGTAAGATTCGTCTTATGGTTTGTGCGTTAAGAATCAATATGCATATGCGTTGTCACACGTGAGGACTAAGACGGAATGCCTTATGCCAGTAAAAAGGGTCTCCGGTTGTCTGTCTACACTCACCATACGTTATGCTACTATGTTACAGTTGAACTGCTATTTTACGCTGGTATTCTGTGAGAGCGTGGTCCATCCCCGGTCGAGCCGACCCGTTCGTACCAACATGTAGCTGTAGTATGGCGCTACCTCTCTCGGGGTTCTTTTCTTGAAGGTCCCTAAGTCTTATCGGTCCAGATAAAGCGCTGGCGACAGTAAAGTGCTCGTGTGAGGTAGAAATACATCCGTAGTGCAGAGAAATACTCTTTTTATCTTCTCCTACTAGTTAATGAGACAATAATGCACTTGCGTCATATTCATCTCAATTAATACCGCCGCCGGCCATATACATCGAAGCTCCGGCAACCGATAGGATAGTAAAGTTCTCGAGTGGCAGCCTCGTACCGGTAGGCGAAGTGTGGGCGGCAGTAGATGGAATGCAGGTCGTCACTCTATCTAGTGGGTGACCGCCCCACACTTCGCCTAAGTCTTAAGACATGCAGGAAGCCGATGGATGCACGTGGCTCAGGACCGTGCTTTGTCGCATTCTTTCACTTATGTTCAGCAATGGACTTTTGAAGGGATGTAATGATGATGATGACGATAATTATTTTAATTAGTACCTGGCATCAGAAGAGTAAAAATTAATGAATGTTGCATTTATTACTTTTATATTTTGTATGCCTACCGGCGGGATTTAGAAAACCTTCCTTATATTTTATCATGTACATATCGAGATCTGTAAATTAACCTATGTTCACAAAATAATTACAGATTTGATTTGTTTTATATATTTTCGCTTCCCTAATTATTTCGTCCTTCATTTGATCCAAAGTCTCAATACCAATTTAATCACTAAACTTATGACAGTAGTGGTCTATCTACCGTTCCAAACCAAAGAGCTCAACAAAAAAAAAAATAAAGCGTTGAGATACGTGTAAACGCTTACATACATAAATTTAATTCACTAAAAATTTATTTACAATTTAGTTAATTGCTTGACTATGTACTTAATGTGTGTAAATCGGCCTTTAGTGGTGGAATAGGATGCGGATGTAATATTTGAGTTTTTTTTCAATAACTTTTTTTGTGCAGTTGGATTTTTATTAATTACTATTTTTTTTAATTATTTACTATATAATATCAAGCTATAATAATTGGTAGTGTTCAATTGTCTAAGCTTGACCATATTCTGATAGAGTTTAAAATCAAGGCGTCTACTTTGACACAACCTTATGTTCGTCCACCCAAATTAAGAATATTAGTAGTTCTGTTTTTACTAAGCTAAGCAGTGCTTTGGATTATTTTCAGCTTCTGACGACATCGACGACTTGTTTTTCGCATTCGCATTGTTTTGCGGCTCGTTTGAATATGACCGGAAGGCGTCATGTAACATGGTGTTATGATTTTTATTGCATTCACGACACCGCTTCTCAAAAATGCATGCTTTACCTTGGTGACTAAAAAGACAGTTTTGAAAAACATTTAATTTAGTTACTGTTTCGTCTTGTTTGTGGAGACATTTCCAAACATTCTTGACAAAAGAATAGTCCATGATCCTTACTGCAGAGTGGGCATGTATATGTTATAAAATTCTTGTTTGCGTCACCTAACTTATAAGCTGCTAGCTTATAAGTTAGGTGACGCAGCGCCCTTCGACGAGATGTTGGATGGATGCTCGGTTGTTAGTCGGATTACTGGCGTATGATTGCTTGAAATAATTAGATTTCGGAGTTTTCAGATACTGATTTTGATTACTTGGAATGTGTGATTTTTGATGAGTGTTGTCTTGTTTTTCTGCCGACTTCCAAAAAGGAGACGGTACTCAATTCGACTGTATTTTTTGTTTTTTTTTTTATGTGTGTTATCTCATAACTTTTTACTAGGTGAACCGATTTCGATGATTCTTTTTTTATATGAAAGCTCATACTTCTCGTGTGGTCCCATATGAATTTGATTAAGGTCAGACCAATAGTTTTTGAGTTATTCTTAATAACTTATATTGAAGACGGCTGTACAAAATTTTTAATTTTAAATTATCACGTCCAGACTCCACCGACGTAAATGTTTGTTCCAAAAACTTGAGAAATTCTTATGATTTTGGCAGTTCCCGTGGACATTTTAAAAAATGAACATAATCATGATGAGTTTCGTTATCGAGTTTTTGAGTCAACAGGTAATCAAGAATCGGATCCCAGGTGCTTATGTCAATTCCTAGGTTTTTTTATTGCATTTAGACATTCCAGCGTAGTGTCGTGAATTTTCTTTATGTTGGTCATTGATGCTTTATGGGAAAGTGGCAAACTCATTAATATGTTCATATGAGAAGTGAATATAAGTTTCAGGTTATTGTATCGGTGGTTTAAAATGTCCCAACAGATAATATAATTATCCGAGCTTATATGTAGGTGTTGTATCAGCCGCTCCGCATTTCTCCCCTGACCTTACTCTTTAAAAATTGCATTTTTTGAGCACTGGAAAGGGAGCGATTTGTTATGAATGCATTCCGTAAATAGATCTTTGAACGGAACTCATTGGTAATAATTCCCGTTGAAGATAGGAATATCAAGCTTCGGTGTAGATTTTTCTTGATGAGCTGTTGACCATATTTTCTTGTTGATCGCCTTTTTTACGTCACTAAAGCTTCTCTCATGGATGGAAAATTCTTGTCCGTATGCTACGTTAGTATCCTCCAGCTCGCTGTCGAGCTCCAAATGAAGAGAGCCGATAGCGTTCCATCTAACACTCAAGGTCTTCACAGCATCTTCTAATTACCATTTATCGGATAACAAATCCAAGTCAATGTTTGCTAACGTTCGCTTAAAAGCTCTAAAATTGCTACTTTGCTTACGCAACATCTCATCCAGCTTGCTGTTAATACTGCGGTCCATATGTCGTGGTGTTGCTGACGACGTGGACGACGGGGGTTGAAAGTTGATGGTTTAATGATCGTAGTAGGTCTTGATTTGTCTTCAGTTGGTAAGAAACTTTGTATGTAGTCTTTTACTTTCGTATAAAAATCAAGAACTTGTCCGTATTTATTCTGTACAATGTATGATGGTTTTCATCACACAACTCACCTACGTAAGTTTGTGAAATTCCTGCCAGTAAGTATCCAAAGTCTTTTTTTTTTAATTCTTATAAGCCAGTGCTTGACCACAATCCCACCTGGTGGTAAGTGGTGATGTAGCCTTAGATGGTAAATCGCACTGTCTTATCGTAACAAAAGCCTATTCACTCTTGCCTTGGAGACGCCTAGATTGTATTCGGACGGAAAGATAGACGCCGGCGAATTATTCCACTCCTTTGCGGTACGCATTACAAAAGACGAAGCAAACCGTTTGGTTCTAATGCGTGGAATATCGACAACAAAGGGATGAAGACCCGCCGACCTTCTGGTTGTCCGATGGTGGAAAAGAGAGGTAGGAATTAAGGCGTGTAATTCCTGCCTCCAGTCCTTTTTTGATATGAGCAGCTGCTCTATACCAGAAACCATCTGTTGTTGATTTGCTTGTAAGTCTTCCATGGTGTTGTTGTTGATAGGCATTCGATAGGTGTTAAGTGAACTGATCGCTTCCTGTTTGCGGTCCGTGTGACGATGAACTTCCAGCGATATATGCGCCTTTTCAATCTGCCTGGTGAGACCCGCTTCTGGGAGGCCAGACAAACCGATTCGCTATCACCGAAAAAATC